TCCAACCCTAACTATTCTATGATTCTATCTTGGAATCTTTCTATGGATTCCTATAATTTAAAGACTGGCAAGCTAGACAGCACCTAAAGAATAAAGGAACCGTACTGCCAGCCACAGGTCTTAAAGGGACAAGAGAATAATTAATAGCCAAAAAGAATAGAAGAATGAAAAGTCTTGATCTTGCTTATCTCAGGCACAAGTTATCATACACAAGAATGTCAACTTAATATGAAAGGGACACTGATTACAAAAGGGAAAATCTTTAAGATTATATAAAGCTGATTCAGTTAAACATTTTAAAAAGGAGCTAGCACAATGCACGGGGCTAAAAATTGCCTCCTAGGTCTGCAACAGATCTACAAAGAAAGAATAAATTTTACAGAAAAGCAAGGACTACCAAGAAGCAATTAGTACATAAAACCAAACAGAGCTTCCTAACAGCACATAAGACATGACAGTCTTAAAATTAGATCAGTCTGATTAGTTAATAGCACATGATAGTACACCCATAAGGTTCTCTCCAAATATCATTTAGGAATACACATTCATAAGAAAGCCATCCTTAATAAAAAGGAATTAACAATAAGTTAAATAAAACAGATATATTTCTAAATCAGTAAGGCTAACAATTTACTAAATATTGGTCACAGGTCATTTTTGCTGGCCATCTTTGAACATATAATTGTTTCAGTGAAGAAAGGAATCGATATGCTACAAGTTTACGGGAGCAGTTCTCAATGAATTCTGAAGAAATATCCTCACAAGATGATCCATGAAGGAGAACTACACATCATTCTGTACTGAGATCATCAATTATGAAAGGGAAAACAGCTGTATATCTTTATATGATTTGTATGCCATTACCTGCCTTTGTACAACTTGCTTTAGCCAACAAATCTTGTTTCTGGAAACGAATAGTCACCTGAAGCCTGGATTTCACTTTCTGGTTTTCTGTCAGAAAACTACAGCAACCAGTTGCAAAACATCTGTGTTTAGCCAGCACAAAAGAAAGGGGAAAATGTTCTCTCAGGTATTTCCCAACCAGGGATTTGTTCCTTATGCATTTACTCCAATTTGACAATTGTCCATTGAACAGCAATCTTATTACATTGAGTACCCTTGTTCTTGTACATTCCTAAAGTTTAAAAGTCTCTCATGTCAGAGGGAAAAGTAACTACCACTGAATCTGCTCTCCCAGATCTTCGTCACTGAAAAAATACAAAAGGCTAAGTGACCTTAAACTGCAATAAGCTTGGATGCTATTCATTTCCTTTGATCTACTTGGTATCCATAGCACAACTACGGCTAAAACAACAAGAAAAGATAAAAATCCATGTAAGATCAAATTTTAGTAACATGCCTATCCATGGCAGTTTTGCCCCATGAAATATTGGAACAGATACTGCTTTTTTACTAGAAAAAGCAACAAACAGAAGTTTAAATAGGTTAAGGATAGAAAGAGATTTATTTGGGAATAAATCATAATTAAAGTCTCTTTACTAGCTTCCATCTTGATTCTTCTAACACCACTCTCCCAACTACATTCAAATTCAGTATTGCTTGGAGCTGTGTGGCCTCTTCAGAGATTTTTGAAAAGAAAAAGCAAGATTTCCTTTAGATGTTAAGCACAAAGGAATTACTTACTGCTTATGTCCACAGAAAGAGTATACACAAGTGCTTTCATTTCCTACTTCATTTCAATTAAAAAAACCCAACCCCCGCCCCCCAAAGAAAAAAAAAATAACCCAAACACACAGTTCCTAAAGTTAAAAGACTTCTTTTGATCTAGTAAAAATCCTTATCTGAATTTGCCAGGGAATTCAGCAAGAAGTAGTGATGTTGCAGTTTTAAAGCTAGAGGCCTGCAGTTCTGCCTTCGCTGCTCATTCCACCTCTTCCAATCTTCTGCCTGTTCCCAACGTTAGCACTCATGCAGCGGCAATGGTGAGTTATTTCAGGAAGCTGGTAATGATGAAGATTAACCTGGAAAGTGATCTTTTCTGACCAAGCCAGCACCCTGAACCGGCTTGCTGAATGGTCCCATGATTATCAACAGTGGCTAAGAGGCAGGAACACAGCAGTTGAGACTTGGGTTGGCTTACACTGCAGTAAAGTCACACTGTAACTTGCTTTTACTCTCTAGCACAAGGCATCCCTGCCCATGGCAGAGGGGTTGGAACTAGACGATCTTAAGGTTCTTTCCAACCCTAACTATTCTATGATTCTTGGACTACATTCTCCTGACCCAAGCAATCTCAGCACTAGCATTCATAGTTCTGGAACAGAACATCACCACATGTTGCATGAGAGTGTACTCTCATACAACACCATCAAATCCCATTTTATTACTTAGATTCCTTGTACATGAGTACATTATCCAAGTACTAGTACCAAGGTTATGCTAGCAGTCCCAAGCTAGTTGACAAAAACAGTCTTCCTTCGCTGTCTCTATAGTCAGCTCTCAGAAGACAACCTGCTGGCACTACCATGTCCAGTTCAACCTCCACAATATATGTCCTGTGTACTCCCTCCTCTGTGTCTCAGTGCTAATGTTTGCTGCTTGATCAAACCATGTTGGGGAGCTGAAGTACCAGAAACTCCCACTCCGCTTCCTCACCAAACAAATCCAAAACATACCTCCCACGTGCCCCCCCCCCCCAAAAAAAAAAAAAAAAAAAACAAACAACCAAAAATGAGTGAAGAGTTTCTACTGGTTCAGCTGCCCAAGGACCAGAGAAATGCAAATTCAATAAAGACAGAGGTGGGAACAGAGACTGGTGGAAGGGAAACCTTTTGGCAGCAAGTATAACCTCAAATCATAGCTCTGGAACCAAAGCTAAGTCAACTATGAAAAAAATATCTGCTGGAATTTGGGCTTCATTTGTTCTGAAGTTCACATAGACTAATTTTCAAACATAATATGCACCTTAAGTAAAAGCATAATTTAAACCCAAACCATTGCAATTTAAGATGTTTATATTTGTAGGATAGGTAGAAAAAAGTTGGGGTTTTTTTTGTCTAACTGTAGCAGGATAGAGAGCAATCAATCACAAAATAAACAGTGCTGGATTTTTAACAAGGTCCCTAAATACTATCTTTAAAACCAGAATAAATACTTTATGCAGTAATTTTGGAAAACATGCACATTTTCTTTTCGCACAGTGCACACACTGCAACAGCAATTCATTAATGTTTTCCTAAAGCACGCCATTAGAAAAACGTTAGTACACACAAACATAAAACCAATCCATAATACCAAGTTGGTTTAAGTACTGCTGGTAACAGGAAGAACAGACGGATGGATTTAGGGACTGACATCATGACAAGAAGAAACAGTATTTCTTGTGAAAGACTGAGATCAAGGGAGTAAACTATTTTTTACTTCTTTTGCTTTTTCTTCCAAAGCTGTCGACTCTGACAGTTACCGGGTAAATTTAAAAGCTTACACTCACATGAATTTCAGAGTAGCTCATCAGTTATTGAAAGCTATTGGATTTTTCCCTAGAGTAACAGCTCAAAGTCTTTCCAGGACCTCTCCAGCAAGAGCACATCTCAAAATTATACTATGCTGTATACATAAACTCTTTCCTTGGTGAAATGTGCACTTTCCTTCTCACACCTTTATTATATTTTCTGAAGATAACTCTTGAGGCCTGTTATGGCTAGAAACATGTGAACAACTTACTGCAAAAGCTGACAAGTTATACACTCCTGTCTTCAACCTAGCGAATGATCTAAGCTCAAAGATGAATCCAAGCTCCAGAGTCACTAGATTTCATAACAAAGTCAAACACAATAAAATGAATTCATGGAAATATGGTGTCCAAAGACAGGTATTTTTTCCTGTATATCATTTAATATTATGTAATATAGTCATTCATTTGAAAAAAAAAAAAAAGAGCACACAAGGATATAGTAAACAAATAAGCAGCTGTTACAGGTTCACAATGAATTTCAAATAATGTGGTTTTGTGTGAGAAAGTACAGTTCACTCTGTAACAGAAAGCTCCCTTCACCTGCATATCTATGACAGCTGATTTAACAGCACTGCAATTACATGTCCATGGATAATGAGGCCCATGCTCCCCTTTGGCTCTCTGATCTTTTCTACAGCCTGTGCCTATTAAATCCACAGACCTCTCTTCTTCCATCCCAACACCGATTTTGTCCAGATTATTTGAAGATTTACTTAAAAAAAATGTTTAAGGTGACATTTGGCAAAGCAAAACACACAGGAAAAGTGGTAACATGTTTTGCATGACAAAGCTACACTTCAATGAAGTTCTACTTTAAAGGCCTCCTTACATAAAGAGTACTCCCATTCTTGATTCAAGTTTGTCTGCAGAGCATAACTGCATTTTAGCCTGAACTGTACTTCTTAGTCTGCTGTGGCTTTTATTTGAAGATACTGTAGTGGCATACAAGGTCAGCTCACACACATGCATAATTCAGTGTAAGTTAAATCATTATGTATAACTAGCAATCATTACACTAGAAACCTGTCAGAATTAGTTAAGCTCACCTCTTTATCCATACTCTCTAAATCCTCTTTACATAGGGTGTACAGGGGCATTGTCTCAGACATACTTGGCTGGCGTTTCCGCTTAGATGGACCAGGCTGCTCTTCATTTTCACTTGTTGGTAGGTCTTCTTCAAACATCTGTTGCTGATGTGGTTGAACAACTCTGAAAAATTTCAGGGGTCCCACATAAGAAAGATTCACTTGATTTACAGCTTGTCTAGAAATAAAATCCTATAAACAATTTATGACTGCTGAATATGTCTTTGCTTAATTGGGTTCTGTGTTCACCAACAGAAGAAAGATCAAGTCTCCCAACAATTGTTTTTATTTTCAGTCTGATGGCTCAGCTTCTTATTCTGCCTTTGACAAGGTACTCATTCTCCTGCCTTCCAACTGTTCCTGTAAGTAACCATTAAACCTTTCTTGAAGCAAGAGCTTCAGTAGCTGCAAATGCATCAAGGTGCGTGCTCAGGTGGAGTTCATCTGTCACTTGACACATATCATTCACGAAACTATTCTTACATTCTAATATATTTTCCTATCTATGTTATGTTTGTATTCTTGAGTAGCAAAGTATACCTTTCTGTTTCTGAACCTTACAGACAAAAAGTTTGCAAGTGAAAAGCTCCTTTCTGCAGCCTCAATCTTCAGACGTTTCCTAGATGCTAAAGCCTGGATGAGATGCAAAGCAGACTGTATTTCTTTTTGGCAAGGGTATTCAAATACAAAAGCTTTTTTTTTTTTTTTTAAGTCTGTCTTTTATTACCTTGTTAGTTACAATATTTAAGCACAACATAGATACAAAAAGGAATATTAAAATGTTCATACCAATCGATCATAATTTCATGGATACGTCTTTCTAATAGTAATAAAAAGGTAGATTACATCTAGAACAACATCAGGAGACTTCTATATATTTCTTGGATGAATTCTTTCTGTGAATATTGCTCGACTACAAAAGACTGGTAGAAGCTAAAACTGCTACACAATACGGTTTAATTGTGAATATTGGGCTGTCACATTAACCTTCTGGAACTCATTACAACAGCCCAACACTACCCAGAATTCAAAGTTCTCAGGTTATAAAGCTAATAAGTCACAAATTATTTATGCTAGTATGCGTGTAATGATTATCACAAGCAAGTATGAAAGTGATTGTATTTTAAATCACAAACTGTTTCAAGTTTTAACTACCAGGTGAGATGCCATGAAGCTATGAGAGTGGTGGCGATTGAGATGGGGTACAGTTACGTCTCTGCTGACAAGAGTTTCAGTGCAGGACAGCTGCTTCTTGTCAAGCCTGGATTTTCAAGAAATAGCTATAGATCAGCATCCCCACCCCAAAAAAAGCCATTATTAAGTTACGCAAATACAGTCAAAGGTAAGGCTCTACAAATTCTTCTCTCATGAACTTGACAGCTTCTTAAAAAAGGTTATTTAAATATCAAGGTTTCTTTTTTCCTACATCAGTACTTCAATCCCAGAATATACGAAATCTGAAAGCCATACAAAGCTGTCAATCAAGTTCATTTTGAGGGCTCATATTTCCTAAATACATGTCTCCTCTCAGATCCCATGGATAGGTGGGTGAAGGGCGAAGAAAGCCAAGTCATTGCTGTGTTATCCAGAACTGTACTATCTGCTGCAGAAGACTCCCTATCAGCTCAGCAGCACAGCAGAAATTTGCCCCTTCACAGTCTCATTTCTGAACAGTGGAATTTCCTGTGAAGCCAAAACAATGATTAGAATGTTGTGGAAATTAACTAACCAAACTGGTTTTGAGTTTTTCTTCACAAGTTAGAAGTTCTGGGGTTTGGTTGGTTGGTTGGTTCCCCCCCCCCCTTTTCTTTTCTCCTTTCTTTACTAAATGTTTTCTACTTTACAAGACCACTATGTTTTCTTTTGCTATTAAACTGCTCTCAGACAATTTTCATAGGTAAAAGAGGAAAAAAACACCATATTTTCCAAAAGGCTCTTTTAAAATATGATTTCTATGCCCTTTTAACAGCTACCCTTTAGCCAAGAGAAAGGTGATGATGCTATTAACATTCTTACTAAAACAGAGAATGACAAAAGGTCTAAGCACCATACACAACTGCATTAAAAACATGACAAGCTTGACCATGTCAAGAATTATGCACAAGTTACACATAGCAGGCAGCCAAGCAGATTTTCTTTGGCTAGAAATAAATGTAGCATACTTTTTTTAAGAACACATCATCATACTGATGACAGTGAGAACTCCTTTTGCAGAATAAAATGAGATCCATTATACACAAGTATTAACTATAAAATAATTGCATGAATAGTTTCTAAAAGCTTGTGTCAGATTTTTCCAGTATTTTCCAACTGCTATGAGATATGAAACATGGGGGACTTCTCACCAAAGCATTCCCAAAAGCAATATAAAACAAAGACTTCTTTAAGTTTTGTCAGAAACACCTTTATTTTGTCAGAGACATTTTTCTGGCTTTACATTTTCAGCTGCTTGTTGATTAAACTTTAAAGACATACAAACGCAGGAATTTACACTTATTTCTAATCAGATGAGACTCATAAGTACTTTCTCAAAAAACCCACCATATTCATCTGTGCATAGGTTAGTTGGCACTTACTGGTCTTACACGCACAAGGACATGCATGTACAGGGTGGGTTCAACATCTGTGCAAGTAAGAAGCATCTTAACACTTTCACTGATACAACATCAGGGCAAAAGCAAAACCTGCATTATCATTGTGAAAAATATTTAAATTCCATTCATTACTTCAATTTGGTATTTTGTAGTTTTGCTGTCATGAAGACTGAGAACATTAGATAGGAAAAGTTGTAACAACAAGCATGTAAATTAAGAAAGAAATCTTATATGTGAGATTAATTCATATCAGTCTTAAAGAAGTGCTTCAGCCACCTTTTCAAACCAAACATTTAATGCATCTTAGCATTATTTAAAACTAGAGTGCCACTTTTAACCTCTCATATGTAAATTTACCCATATTTTAAGCCTTGCCTCATCTGTTAGCATACGATTAGCATTAACTAGCATTTAATTTGTAATTTTTTTAAATTCTATTTTAAGATACCATTAGCATTTTCTTTTTTTGTTTTTTTGGACAACACTACATTACACATCTCACAACTTGTTACAACTTCAGTGCTTACTGTAATGTCCGTAGAATACTGTTTCCATATGAAAATACAAATTGTTGAGATACATACATACAGAGTGTCAAAGCTCTGACACATAGGTTATATTTAAAGTGGAATCCTTCCTGTTCTCAGACAGGGAAGAGCTCTTGCTGGCTGCTAGCAGCCACAGAGCAGCAGTACAGTACAGTACAGACCAAACTCTTTGCCACCCTTACAGGCAGGCTGCAGCAGTCATGCATGGAACAAAGAACAAGTGTTCAAGTCTCACAGAGCTGAGCACAACGTCAAGATGTATGTCTGTCACACATAATGCTGACCAAATTAACTGAACCACCTGTAATTCACTGGTGACAAATTGCATGTAGATATTTAAACTAATCATATCCTATTTTAAGTTATGTTTCAAGTTGAACCCCAGAAAGAAACTTAAAATGTTGAACCCAAAATAAAGTGAAAACTGAAGCAGTTCTTATGAAATGGCACTCAGATAACTTGAAGACTTTTTCAGTAACCAGCCTTGCAAGAGGTTATCTTCTAAGCACAACAAATTGTTCTTACTGTACAGGACCAAGTATCATTGCAATGCCACGTGTGGCTGCCATCACCAAGGGTTTCCTCTTGCAGCAGTGCAGTTTCGTTGCTCACTGTAGTTCAGCAGCAGATGAAGTTTTTAGAAACTACCAAAGGTGATTATTGGAGGCTTTGATTACATCTACTCACAACAGGAACAGCTGTGAGTGTTAATAGCTTTATCTAACTTTGCTTAAATTCAATGGCTTAGTTACAGATACTCTCATCTTTTTGTAGAAGGTGAACACGTAAGCACATGAAGTCTGTCAGGACATAAAATACACTGCCCTCTATCAAGTAATTGTTGCACTAAGGTAATTTTCTCTAAATTCAAGTATCACATCAGTTTTTAAATTGGATGTGAAGCTTTTTCTTTTATAGAAGTTTGTTGGTTTTTTGTTTTATTTTTTTTAAATATAATTGATCTATGCATTAAGACAAAGCAAGGCAACAATATAGTACTTCTGCCTCAGTTCTTGCTCAGCCAAAGTGCAGCAAAGCTGTTTCTATTCAGCTTTTTGTTATTTATTTACAGCCTTCATGCTCTGCCTGCACTATACTTCCTATCCATTAAAAGTACTGAAAGTGGGATTTGGTCACTGTGCTGCTTTCCTCCTACACTTAATTGAAGATAGCAGAACTGCTTTGATGAGTATAGACATGCCCCAATTAAGAGGTCAGTGTTTACAGGTCACTAACGTTACCAATAGAACCAAATCAACAGGAAATGATGATAAAAATACTATTTCCCAGTATATATCTTATATTAATCTCTTCTTACAGCTGTCTAGCTATAGGATGAAGTTGCAGCACTAAGAAGTTGGATTCACTTTCTTAGATTAAAGCATCTCAACCCTGAGCATTTGCAGTCAGGAAAAACAGCTTAAGTGATTAAAAGAAAAAAATAAAAAATAGGCTTCAGTGTGGACAAAACTCTACATAAGTTGTTGACAAAGGCAGAACAAACATCAAACCCTGTTCTTTTTAAAGCACTGAATGATGCATTAATATCAACATAAACCATCGTACTGAAGCATCGTAGAAGTGTCATACATACACATACAACTTTCCCAGCTCTCTTTCTAGACAAATGCCTTTCCACAATAACTAAAAATACCCAAAACCTGTTCAGCTCCTCTCTGGATACATGCTGTGTCTCAATTATTTAAAGTCTTTCTGTTTAACGTGTCATAAAGTAAAATACAGGCTTTAAGAGACAGTTAAAAAGGAACTGAAAACAAGATGTCTTCATAAACGAGAGACAAAAACAAAATCTGTGTTGACAGAAACAAGGAAGCTGAAATACAAAAAAGCCTATAAAAAGATGTCAAATGAAAAACATCATAAGTTGAAATAATTTAGCAACAGGAAGATAGAGTGGAAACATAACAAGCTACACTAATATACAAAACCTTTACAAGTGATACACTACAAAAGTGGTGGAAGAAGGAGAAGAAAGGTAGAAAACTGCATTTGTAACTGTGCTTTGTATTTTGTGTTTTTGTAATTGTTATATACTGCTTTAGAACAACTGCTATACTCTGATCACACTGTAAAGAATTTTGATCACATTTAGAAAGAGAAAAGCTTTGCCTTCAACTGGATACTTTACCATTGGAGTCAACAAGCCTTGCTAAACTTGTTAGCATTCCAGGAAGTTAGATTCTTTTATATGTGGATACCTAGGGATGAATTTTAGATATTTTACACAGCCTTAAGAGACAAGTGTTGTCCTTGTCACTTAACCAAATCCACAAATTTTGACAAAGTCCAGATGCTTTATACTTCAAATAAGCAGGCCACCTCCTTCTCCTGCTCCTCTTGTATCTTGATTTAGTGATCTAAGGATTATTAACTAGTGCAGTCATATGGCCTTATAAATAACACTCAGCTACACTGTTCTCTCACCACTCCTGATATTTCTCAAAACAAAATACAAAGCTGAAGCCCCACCTGAAGTAATTAGGTGAAGAAGAAGATTTTATTAACAAAAGCCAAATGCTATCAGATATATTTTATAGACAAAAAAAGAATCACAATCCAGTATTCTAAGACTCATTAAAAAACATTAGGCTGCCTCACTTCAGAAATTATTTATTCTAACATTCGTTAGAGTGCACAAACTACATGCTGCATTTATTTGTTCTGAGGTTTCTAGATGCTCTTAGGTGAGGAACAAAAGGCATCTGGAATTCTAGTATCCTGATTTCACTTCAGCTGACCATTCACTTTCACTCATTTCCCTGGCTTTTGAGAAAGCAAATAAAGTAACTAAAACAAAGTTGACAATTAAATTGAAGGCAAAGATAACATGAGTTAAATTTACTACACCTATGAAAATATAGTTGAAGTGACTCTTAGCTATGCTTTAGGTACCTGAAGGATGAGTGTTCACCGTGGACTGGTAAGGAGATGGGAGGAGCTGGAGACTGGATGTACATTGGCTGGCCACAGGTCTGAGCACCTTTCCTGATTAACTTTCCAGTGTTAGGATCATAAAGCCGCACTTCAGGACCAGGTTGAGACTTTGGATGGATGGGTGTTGGGTGAAACAAAGCAGTCTGAAATGTGCTGTGTGTATCAGGAAACGTAGCAGGGCTATTCTCTCTGTTGGATGAAGTTCAGGAAAAAACTGCTTTAGAAATTTAAATGAGCTATCTAACAGCTGAATGTGAAAAAATGAACATTTCTTTTTCCCTAAAGGAGAAACTGGGGAGGGATGAGGAGGAAAGGTTTGGAAGATTTCTGAAGAAACACTTCTCCTTTACCCCATTAAAGTCTCACTGGATTTAAAATGAGAAAAATGCAAAGACACAGATAATGTCATATTCACATCACCAAAAAATTATTAATTGTGTCTTAAAAATTGTCTTAACATATAAAGTTACTGAAATTGCTTCCAGATAGTAACAACTGCATGACTAGAGTATCATGATAATCTGCATATACACAGAGGAAAGCATGCTATTGTATCAGATCTTAGTATCTGCTCTCCAAATTTGCTCCAAGAGAAAACAAACACACTATGAATTTGCAAGTCACCCAAACTCATTTGTTAAAATACTAAGCTGCCTATGATCACCTTGCTGCATTTTAAAGCATAATTTTAGAAGTGTCAGCAAGAAAATTCAGAGATCAGTCTGCAGGAACCACAATTAGGGAGTATTACCCAATTACAATGATGAAGTGCTACAACCTGAAAAGGAAGTAAATAATTAAAATAATAATAATAAAAATATCAAATAACCCAGCATATTATGCACCATGAAATTGATCCTATAGAAAAAAAATCCAATTACATTTTGACAAATATTGGAAGTGCTACAAAACTAGAGCTTTTAACCATATGCTTTCTCAGACATTTCTGAAGTTGTCTTGTAGAGTCAATATTTAAGGTCAACCAATTACAAGTTTACTTAATTATTTTTTTATATTCTTAAGCTCATTTATATGCAAATATTTTCCTAGAGTTCATGCCTCCCCTAGTTCACAAGTGCTTTGGACCAGTAATTACTATTTCAAGCGGCCTTATTAAGCAGAAAAAAATGTTTTCCAGGTAAGTTGCACAATGTTGGGTCAATAAAGTCACCACCTAGATTTGTATTGAGAACACTGCAGTGTTGGGCCTCTGACAAATTAAACATACCATACAAATATTCCAAAGTTTTGGTAACACTTTTTAAAAACAAAATATCCTAGTCAAGCCACAAGTAGGCTACAACTCTTTCTTAAGTTTTAGGAATCTTAGCTCTCCATCTAGTGTCCCATTTCGTAAGTGACCTCGCTTCCAGACATTTTTACTTCTGGTGTCTTCAGTGCGTATGAGGATTTAGGAACACACTCTGCCTCAAATGGCTAGTGTCTTCAAAGCAGAACACAAATGTCTAGCCTACTCAGTTAACCACACCAGTATCAGTTTGATACAGAAAGTCCAATATGCTATTCCTCTTCCCACCTGAACATAGAAGTGAAGGTCCTCTGTTAGGCTTGCAAGACACTATTAATGTGTGTCTATGTAACCAGGCAACAAGTCAAGAAGCAGAAGCTGGCTCTACAGGATCTTGTCATGAGTTACTGTAGCCATGGCACTTTCCTGAAGGGGAATGCTCTTACTAGCCTTCTGACTTCCTCTGTGTTAATAAAGTTTTTGGCTGTCCCTTCTATTTGCCTTCATCCTAGTGCACTGATCATTTTTAACCCTCTCTCTTTTAAGAATTTCTACCATCCCAAAACTTCCTCTCACTATTTTCTTTCTTCCAGTTTTTGCTTCTATCTTCATGCCTTCCAGCCCCTCTTAGATTTTTTTTTTTTGCTGTATTTTTCTGTTCCTCCCTTCAATCTCACCACTCAGAAAAAAATTTGCCATACTTTACAAAATTTCCATGCTGTGAGGAGAACTTGTACATCTCTCCTGTGTTAGGCTGTGGATGAACTGACAAGGTCAACTGCTCCAGCTGAAAATGGCTAACAATGACAACTGCTAAAGAAACTACTGGCATCACAGGTTTCTCCTGATTCTGCTAGCTGCTGAACTGCCTCCTGATCCCTCAGTGGTCTTCCATTTTAGCAGTACAGAAGTGGATAAAAATGGAGGGTTCTTTCATAAAATCTGTAGGCATGCCACACCACTCTGAATTTATCAGAAACCAAATTTTAAAGCTACATTAATAAATGAGCATCATTGAATAAATAAACTACTTTCAGGGCCCCTACTCCCCCAAGTTCCCACTTACCTGTGTGTTTTGATGTAGTCATCCTTCAAGGGAAAAAGCTGTTCCTCAACCTTGTCCCAGCGCTCCAAGCAGCTCCACAGCCAGTCAGGGTTTACAACGTGGAGGTCCTTGCAGTCCTGAGCTTGCCGTACTTTTTCTGTGCCTATTGCGAAACATAACATTACAGTGTTCCCAGAAACACAGAAGATGGTTTTAAGTACACTGGTTTAAGAACATTTTTGTGATCAATCTCACAGAAAAACAAATGCTCCTCCTCAATCTAATAAAACAATCACAATTGATAAAAGTGAGACTCTAAACAAGATGCAAGAACCTCAGTCTCAAGCTGGATGAAGCTATTTGCAACTTCCCAAAGCACTGGCACCATGGAAATTATACATACACTAGAATTAACAGTCAACCCCTTTTGCCAGTACTGGCGGCAAAGCAGAACAACAAAAGTGAAGTTAAACATGGCAGGCTAGCACAAAATCCTCACGAAAACATCAACAATGCAGTATGCAAGTAACAAGGGTTCTCAAATGCCACCCTCTGGAGAAGCCAGGAAAAGAGAGAAACTCTTCAGTTGCTATAAATCTTTGCCAAGAAGCATCAACAAGAGTAAGCAGAAAGAAGCAAATAAAGGTTGAAATTAACCTTGAAGTGTAGTCAGTTCCCAGAAACAGCTGTTTCAAGAATGTATTTATTTGACTGGAAAAAGTAATTTCATCAATTGCAGTAGTTGTTTCACCATTTATCAAAGAGACCTATGAAGGGACTGGACACTTTTGAGACCACAAAGAATTGTACAACCTGCCAATAAATCATTAAATATATACGCAATAGAGAAAAACTCCAAGGATTCTGACCCGATATATCTAGGCTTGACACTCTCACATCGTATTTTTACACAAATACTGGCAAGGCTAGAATATGATAAATAAACTCTCATGCATTTGACTGTCCCACAGCTGAAACCCATCGCTCTTCCCTTTTCTTACATCTCTATAGCATTTCATCTTATTTACATATTATTCAAAATGCTTAAACCCAATTCTTTGTTCATATTCTGTCATGGTACAAAGACATTTAAACATACTTTAAATGCACTACATTTTTTGTTTAAAAATGTGAAATAAAGGGATACCATCAAGCACTAAAGGCAGGAGTTCAATTAAAACTTAGCCCTCTCCTCTAGATTAAGAGCAGAGCTGACAGTGAAGCAAGAATACATAACTTCAAACACTATTCAC